TTCTGACCTGAAACATCAGCTTTCCTGCTCCTCTGATGCTGCCTGGCCTACTGTGCTCCTCCAGCTCCACACTGTGTTATCTCTGGCTCCAGCATCAGCAGTTCTTACTATCCTAGACTGAGTAGCTGTTGGGTAAGTAGGTAGCCTTGAGTGAGGGGCGAAATCATTATCTGCAACCATTAAAATGGCTGTATGGCAGGACAGAATGTAGAACAGTACCACACAGGAATAAGCTCTTCAGCCCATCATGTCTATGCCAACAATGATACCATTCTAATCTCCATCTTCCTGCACATAGTCCATATCCCTCTATAACCTGCCTGTGCATGTGTCTGTCTAAATGCCTCCTAAACATTGCTAATGTATCTGCTTCTACCACACCCCCTGGCAGCACATTCCAGGCACCTACTACTCTCTGTTTTAAAAAAAAAACTTCCCTTGCACACCTCCCCTAATCTTTTCCTGATATGTGACATTTCCACTCTGGGGAAAAAGAGTCCAGCTATCCACGCTATCCGTGCCTCTCATAATTTTATATCCTTCTATCAGGCCGCTCTTCAGCCACTGAGATTGATGTGTGTCTCCACCAGTGCCCCCCCACCCAGAACACTTCACTTGGTGAGGCAGGAAATTCCCTCCTCAGTAATTCAGAGAATTTGCACCTGATGTGCAACACAGACAGGGCAAGGTGAGTGGGCATGTAAAGCATGCACCATTTTACATTTTTGTCAGCTCACATCATCTTAAAACTATCTTCTCTGGGTTCCTGTCTATGTATCTAAATTTCTTACATCATTAAGATGGTAGAGTTGCTGCCTGGTGGTTCTGTCATATCCACAGGGACTGGAAAGAGGGCCAATTATGTGATTTAGTTCTTCAAGTCTGTTTCAAAGTCATTTAATAAGATCTTGGATGATCTACAATCTGACCCCATATGCACACCTTTCCTCCTTTCCATACTGCTTTTGCTCTGATGACACTGTCCTAGCTACTCACACAGAAATTCAACTGTAAAGGCTTATACTCTTTCCCATGCCAGAGCCTAGGTCTGCTTTAGTCTAAGCATCAAGAAAAATGAACTTATGGGACAATGTGTGACTTTACACACGTGATCACACTAAATAATGTCCCACAGTTTAGCCAATTCTGCCTCCTCGGGTTCACAATGAAAGACAGTCTGGCCCAGATAGTAAACTTGATACAGCTCAAGGAAAGCTGCAACCACCTTTTGCTGATTTATGAAACACGCATGGGGTAACAGCAATCCGATCCCTATAATCAAGTCCCAGGGTAGGAGACCTATGCTGTCAGTGCATTGTTGTATGACTGTCAAACATGGACAATCTACAGCAATCATTAAAGAAAGCTCAACATCTTTTAGCTTTGTTGCCTGTGTCACATTCTGGGCAGATCAATAAAGGACAAAGCCATGAAGGTGGTAAACCTCCCCAAAGTCAATCTCCCAAGTCTGTCTGCACAAATTTGGCAGAGGTGTCTTTACTGATTTGGGTATGTTCACAGGATGGGAAATGGTTGAGTACCCAAGGATTTTCTATATGGCCAGATAGAGCCAAATGTCCAGTAGAATACCCAAAGGATTTCAGCAAACATAATGTTATTGCTATAAATATTATGTTTCACAAGGGCCCTAGCAACTAGTAATGGGAAACAGCAATGTTGCATGATCAACCTCAGTAACGGCTTGAAAAAAAGTCAGAAAGCAACACCAGATATTTTGTCTGTATCAATTTGCAACTCTCACCAAATTCCAAATTTTAAACCTGAGGATATGCTGATGTGAAAATCGAAAGAACAGCGGATGCTGGAAATCAGGAACAGAAATCTTAACTGTTGGAAAAGCTCAGCAAGTCTGGCAGCTTCTGTGGATAGAATTTGGCGTTCATGTTTCGGGTCCAGTGGCCCTTCTTCATATCACGAGCTGACAATGCAGAACATGTGGCTGATATATTTGTTTTT